AGTAGAAAGTTCATAATACTAACAATACAAGCCTATAGATACACAACAATAGACCTTTCCCGCATTCCAATAAAACTGATGGCGCCGAGTCGAGGTCAGGGTGGACAAAATTACAGCAAATGTATGAAAATGTCCACCCCAAACCTCGCTCTGGTACTATTGTTCGTTCGCATTGTAGGCCACTTAGTTTTAGAAGAACAACACGGTATAGGAAACAACTGCAGGTAGCCACAAATCTTCGTTCAAACATTCCAGATAAATTTCGATTCTTATCATCTAATCAAAATTAAGTGCCAGCAATCGCGATATTCCAAAAACTGTCCGCCAGCACGGCACAATAAGGCTAGGTCGTGTTGCTTAGCAACTTAAGTGATGAACTGCGGGCTTGGTGACTTTTGCAGACGATTACGCTGACGTTTCCGGGCATCCTAACGTGCTGAGTTAGAGGCCATTCTCCTCCACTTACTGCGATTTGAAAGGTGTTTGATATTATCTTTGATACTTACAAAGCTAACAGTGCGTATGTCTGTAATGTTGGCCAGCAACTCCAGATAGTACTTCGCTGACTCTTCAACCTAAACAAACAAAATGTCACTTGACCAAAAAAGCTGACACACAAACAGGTAGTACGCGGGATAATTGAAAGGCCGTTTCGTAAACGACTTACAATTTCAAGCTGACAGTGAACAATAGTTTGGTTAAACCTTAACCAGCATGAACAGCAAGTCTAGGTAGACGTAATTATTATCATCAAAAAAGTAAAAAACCATGTCCAATCAGTTTCTAAGGAGTTGAAGTGAATTGGCCAATGAACTTTTCCTTTGTTTTTCTTTCACTGTCACTTAAAGTCATAACAATTTAATTTGCTGGACATATTTCACAATCTTAAAAGAGTTAAATCTACTCCTCTATCTGAGTATAGCTTCTTTTGAAAATAACCCAAACCATAGTTAATAGAGGAAAATGGCTAGAATCCCGTCAAACAACAAAGGAGCAAACAAACAAGCTACGATTTATGTTGGAAGGTCCTTGACCTTGTACATCGTTTGTTTTATGCAGTAATTACATAATCGAAATACTTCCATTGGTTAGTTGTATGAGCACACGTAACCACCTTTTGTAATTTACCAGGTTTTGTGCAGGGCCAACCCCCAAAATAGCCAACAAAAACATATAACAAACAACTTTGCCAGGTGTCNATAGTATTTCGCTGCCTCTTCAAACCTAAACAAACAAAATGTCACTTGGCAAAAAAAGCTGACACACAAACACGTAATACACGGGATAGTTGAAAGGCCGTTTCGTAAACGATTTACAATCTCAAGCTGACAGTGAACAAGAGTTTTATTAAACCTGAACCAGCATGAACAGCAAGTCTAGGTAGACGTAATTATTATCATCAAAAAAGTAAAAAAACATATCCAATCAGTTTCTAAGGAGTCGAAGTGAATTGGCCAATGAACTTTTCTTTTGTTTTTCTTTCACTATCACTTAAAATCATAACAATTTAATTTGCTGGACATATTTCATAATCTTAAAAGAGTTAAATCTACTCCTCTATCTGAGTACAGCTTCTCTTGAAAATAACCCAAACCATAGTTAATAGAGGAAAATGGTCAGAATCCCGTCAAGCAACAAAGAAGCAAACAAACAGGCTAAGATTAATGTTGGAAGGTCCTTGACCCTGTACATCTTTTGTTTTATGCTCATTGACTTCGCAGTAATTACATAATCGAAATACTTCTATTGGTTAGTTGTATGAGCACACGTAACCACCTTTTGTAATTTACCAGGTTTTGTGCAGGGCCAACCCCCAAAATAGCCAACAAAAACATATAACAAACAACTTTGCCAGGTGTCATAATCTTCCCCTGTATTAACTATGCCCAAACCTGTCGAGTTCTGCAGATCTTTTAGCCAATATGAATGTGACAAGTTCTGTTGTTATACTAGAACTTGACATTGCACTGGCCAAGGCAAATCTTGGAGGAACAGTTAGCTCCACATCTGAAGAAAAATACAAGAAACGTTGTTAGTAACACATTTTTGCTGATGTGTAAAAACCACGTCGCTTTGCAGGAAAAACAAAACTGGCCATGTTCATTTCCAAGAACACTGCTACGAAGTGCACCCAAAAAATATTACTGATCATGCGCTGCATTTACCCTACTGATATCCCATTCACAGAGGGAGGCGAGGTAGCCTAATGGGTTCAAACCTTGGCGGGGTCACTGCGCTATATTCTTGGGCAAGACACTTAACACTTACAGTGCCTCTCTCCACCCAGGTGCATAAATAGATACTGGAAAATTTAATGCTAGACAAAAACCCTACAACAGACTAGCATCCCATCCAGGGAGGAGTGGAAATGCCCCTAGGCGATTCGAGCTACAGAAACCGGAGATAAACGCCGCCCTGATAACCGTAAGCCACTTGTAGAGAGACTTTATTTTACGTTTATCTCATTCACTAAAACACCATATCTGCTAAAACGAAGTCTGTGTTGCATTGGCTTTGCTCCTGCCAAACTTTTTCAATGGTTCAGACTCGTACGAAGCACTGACCATGAGAGGCTTTTCACTCTTGCCCTTTTGCCAATCGTACGTTTATTTCGATGCATCATTGTGCAAAGTTTGAACTGGCTGTGTAATTGCGGTAGCATTATTTATTTGAGAGTAATGCAATGGAAAACAGAACTAAAGGGACTTACCTAGCTTTTTGTTGTGATCACTGGGAATTACTGCCACATCATAGCGTCTTTCCTGTTCTCTTTCCCTACTCTGGATGGTCTAAACAGACAAACAAAGAAATTGATAACAAATTTGAATTTTGCACTGTGACTCTAATAAGCACATGGAAAGAGGCCAAACTACGTACTCTTGGAGGTCCCAACATGACAGGAACATCGTGGTCCGCTCTTTTCTACCATCCATCCCAACTACCTAACGGAATTCGAATCATTTGTCAAGCAAGCCCACTTTCAAACCGACAGTCAACCACAAAAAGACGTATACAGTTAAAGCGAAACACATCAATTAAAGACACAAAATCGTACTTTCTTAGACTTTTTAAAAGTCCTAGGATTAAAAAAGGTCGACTTATGGCAAGTCTAGTACTTCCTTATCTGAATGCAAGTACGGTGCGTTCTTCTTAAAATGACATTCACCTGATGCGTTACACTAAATACAGGACTTCTAACCTCGGTAAACAAACGTCCCACCTCTGACGTCAGTGTCTACATACTCGAGGGAGAGCTGGTCACGAGTGAGGTGTGACACCAAAACATTCCAAATTCAAGACAAGGCTCTACAGATATGCGAGCAGTGTATGATGGGTTCATTTGAGAATAATTATTTACAGACCTTAAAAAGCGCGCAATAAAGGATTTCAGAAGACTCTCTCCACATTTCATAGGATTTCACCAAAAGAAAGGTGTTGTTTCAACTGCTTCTGAAAAGGTCAGCTTTTGCACAGGCTAATAATACAACTCTTTAATTTCCCTGTGATTAGTCACATCAGCTAAAATGTTCCAACATTACCTGTTTCAACAGCTTAAGAGACTGTATTTCAGCCATGACATTTCCCAGCTTCCGATACTGAAGTGTGATGTTAAACAGAGCTTCAAGTTGTTGAAAATCATGTACCAGGGCCTCCCTGAATTTTGACACTGCAGTGTGATATTTACCC